TATGCTTTGCATATGGGACTCAGCAGTTTAAAGAGTCATGGGAAATGTATACTGGTAATTAAAGAACTTTGTTGGTCATAGGAACACTTGGCATGAGTATTCATTAAATTATTAAAAAGAAAAAAGGCAGGTTAATGTTCCTTAAATTACAGATTTACAATGCAGATGTCTCCAGGAATCTAACAGTTAAAAGGTACATAATTTCTGCATCAGGTTGTCTCAACCAGATATTAATATATTGTAATATTTCAGTTGCTTATTTTCACTTGAATAGAATGTTAGGATGTTTAACTGGGAAATTTCTTATTAGAGATCCTGATGGACTTGGGAATATTTTAGTTATTCATATAAGGGATCTAGATGTCTGCTTTATTCTAGAATGTTACTAGACAGAAGTTGTTGCCTCAGTAAAGTATCTGACATACAAAAATGCCTTGATTTATTTAAAAGGTAAAGTGAATGTCTTGTTTGTATACTTGGTTTATCAAAGGGCCTTGAATCTCTTTAAGCTGTAACATTTTAGGTCATAATATTCAGGACATGTTCTAAATTGAACTTGGATATTATCTTCAGAAAATTATTATATTGAACATTTTTAAAATACCAACCATGAGAAATAGGATAATTCATTCACCATTTAAAACTGAATGATAACACTAAAAGGAGAGAGATGGAGAAAATAAGTAGTGTTTTATAAAGGCTTGATTTTACTCTTTCCAGAAGTACCAAAAAATCATCCCAATTGATGGATTATTGAATCAAAAGATTGTTTAGTTGGGTCATGTTGTACATCCTCTTCGGATTAATCTGACTATTTTTTAATAATCATCTATGAGGAAATTTATTTTACAGATTACCAAGGACGATTCTAGATTGAGACTAGAGATAGGCACAGAATAAAAGATGAATTGCAAAATTAATCTAAAATCACTAGTTCATTAAAAAAAATCACTTTGTTTTCATCAGATGTGATGACCCCATTCCCCCCCTTTATATTCTCTCTTACCAGAACAGTCTTGAGATACATTCTCCCTTCCCCGCCCCCCCTTTCGTCTTTTTTAGTCATCCTTTGAAGAAAAGGAGTCTTTTTCTTCTCTCTCTCTGACTCTGGTTTCTCTTCAGATCGTACAAATCCCTCGCCTCTCTCTGATGATGGTGGCTGTTTCTCCAGCATTAAAGGTTGTTCATTAAGGATCTGGTTAAGTTGTTTGTCCTTGCTTTCGATCTTTTCATGCAGAGCAGAAAAAGTCATTTTCAAGTCCATTCTGATCTCCTCAAATTGCATCTTCAAATAACTAATTATGTTAATTTACATTCTTGAAGAAGTTCCTTGATATAATCCACTGTAAATTGCGAAGATGATTCCCCCCTCCTTCCATGGCCGTAGCAGTAAGTTGTGAAGATGATTCTCCCCCTCCTTCCATGGCTGTAGCAGTCAGCAGGTTAATTAGATTTCCCACATGAATTATTAGCTAGACCGCACTTAAAGTCTTACAAGGGGGTGATTTACAGATTTACAGACTGCCTTGTAACCTGATACAAAGTCTCTTAGGTTAAATTATGTAGAGTTATTTAGAGTTCTTAAGTCCTGACTTTATAAATTTATGAGAAGCCAGTTTCTCTGGGGGTGAGGGTTAAGAGAGAAAAAGAGCAAGTTGGTTTCATTTCCGAGCTGTGGCGTAGTAAAGAAAACTCCAATGTTACCGGCATCAACAAAGTTATGCCGCTTGAGATCTCCTTCTCATCAGCTTTCAAATAGCAGGTTTGATCTTTTACTTGCCGTAGTTTAGCAGCAGATCATTAATCTCTGCTCTGCAGTCAGATAATAAATTCCAAAGCCTCCCCTCTCCGAGCAGCTAACTCACGATCATGGCGACTTCACGAGACAGATTGCATGTAGGAAGGGAACTCTTCCAAAAAACAGACTGCCATCTGAGATTCGGTGGTTCCAAAGCCCCCACTTGCTAACAACTCCCGGTCTCTCCTGTAGAACTTGCCCCCCCTTCTCCGGGGGGTGTCCTCTGACTCGGAGTAAACCCAGGGGAATCTAGAGCCCTGGAATTTCCCCTGTTCTCGCTGCTCATGGCTCCTCCCCCCGGTCTGGAGGATCTTCCAAAGGAAGGCAAGGATGTCGCTGTTTTAAAAAGCACATGCATCCGCCTCATGGGCTGACTCTGTGGCTGCACCCCTGTTTCGAGATGGAGGCCTCTCAGTAAACTTTGGTTCATGCACTAAGAGTCAGTTCTCTATCATGGGTCATAATATCCTGACAAGAAAGCTGCAGGAATGGTTCCCGGCCAGAGAAAATAATACTTTATACTCTACCTGAACTGCAGGGGGCGTTGTAATCCATCACAGCATATTCATCTGGAAACACAAAGCGGGGTGGGGGGGAGAAAGGAAAGCTGATCAAAACAAACTTTGCCTCCTTTTACTTTCTGCATGGACACCAGCTGGGTGCTGCATTTCAGGGAGTCGTTTTTAAAATTTTGTAAAAGATAGATTTGTATGGTGGCTTTAATATTTCCCCCCCAGAGATTGTTGTGAGAGTAAACTGAGATTTGGAATATAAGTAAAACCAATATGAAACAATAAAGTATTTCTGCACCTTATT